CTGCTGAGTTTCAAGTAGTTGTCCAGGCTTTTTGGAGCTTGCTTTAAATCTCACTAGATGCCTGTCCGTATTATCTGGCTTCCCACACGGCTTCTGTGATGCTATCCCTAAAATAGTAAAACATGCTTCAGGGAAAAATTTGGGTTGAGGTGGTTTCATCTGAACAGAATAAACAACATGAAGCCAGGAGGTATGCGTACCTTTTAACAAAAAGAGAAAAAGATGCTGAATACGTAGACTTCTAAGGCAAAAGACAGCTTGAAATGGAAAGGAGAGGATGGAAAATTGTCTACAATAAGTACAGATAAAGGAACCTTGAGGCTCCAAAGGAGAATGTTTGGGATTGTCTTATAAAAGAAAAGGTCGGTAAGCGTGTAATAGTAATACTAATGAATAAATGACTGAGAATGCGGAAGAACGTTCAGGGAGGTGGAAGGAGGGTAATTCTGCAAATGTCTGAATTCAAAGGATTGCTGTTTCTTTGCGGAGCACTTCTCCAGATGGACTCCAGGGGTTTGCTTTCAAGAACCGAAAATGAAGGGTATTATCTGCTCTCGGTTTGAAGTGTGAGCAGAAATCCTGCTGTTAGTTTTGATTAGGCTGCTTTTCCCCTCCCTTCTGCTTCTGTGTGTGTGTGCGCTCAGCCCTTTTTTCCCCTCAGTTTGAATCATGCTGCCTTTGCCACTTGGCGCTGGGGTTCGACATTAGGCAGCAACACCAGAGAAATGCCTCCCGATCCCTGCTTGTCATTCCCACCCCGGTCCCTGCTTATGCACTCACTGAAAACAGATTATTTATATATTTATTTATTTTACTGTAAGCTAGTAACATTAGGAAAAATCTGCTTGTCAGATTACATTTTAGTAATATTTTGGGCAGATGGAGAGCAACCTGCACAGGCATTACTTTTGTAATAGTCCTTGAGACAGATGCACACTAAATAACTTTGACTCAATTTTCAGTGCCGCCAGAGTTATGTAAGTGAGTGTTTTTCTTCCAATTACTGGCTATAATTTAAGGGTTTACTTGCTGTGTTTGTTTTCACTGTAGTTAGTTGTTGCTTTTGGGTTCTTTTTATTTGTTGTGTAAGAAAATGAGGATTAATCCTCTCCACCCTCCAAAATTCAGATTATTTTTTTGCCCCCTCTTCTTGTATTACTGGTGTATCTAGGGATGTCCTTGACATGACCTTTACTTCCTTATCTAATATAGACACAACTTGAAGGTACGTGGGGAAAAGCATGCAGTTGTATTAGGGAAATTCTATGATTATGTAAATAGCATCGTAATGCTGGCTCCCAGAAGTGAGGAATGTAGAGTGGAGGTCAAGTGCAAAGCCTCGGTTTTGGCATAACCTGATAGCTGCGTGCTTGGCTAATTGTGTGCTGCGGCTTCTTTTAAATGTCAGTCTTGCGATTCCTGAAAGAGGAAAACGAAGCAGCTCTTTTCCTATTTGAGGTACGACCAGGCTAGATACCACTGAAATCTCCTCTCTAAGCTTTCAGGTCTGTCAGGGAGAAATGCTTTCTTAATGCCAAAATTCTTTCAAGACAACAGATGAATGTAAGTTTTTGGCTTACATATCTCTTGTTCCAAAGAAGCAGATGAGAGAGTGATTTTGCAGATTTGTCCTTTCTTCCCTTTCTGCTTTAAAGAAAGAGGGACTTGCTGGACTGTGTTTCCAGTGGCCTGGCCTTGCTGCAACCTTCCCAAAGGCAACAAGAGATTAGTAGAAGATGGTCTTGTGTCCATAGGGGACAATTTCAAGCAAGACAGCGTTGTGAACACGAAGTCACAATTCACTGACGTGCTGCCGTAGTCAAGAAATCAAATCACTGGACCAAAACCAACTTCAGCTCACCAAAACATTTCAGTGAGAGCTCTGCTAGTAACACATGTGGGAAATGTAAGCAGACTTTTTTTGTGGTTCTCCTAGCCTTGTTGGAAGGAAGCTTTTCATTCAAGCTTGCCAAAAAAAGTTTGTCCTCTTTTTAGAGTAAAGACTTCTTTTGGAAAGTTGAGTAAAAAATATAAATGTTTGCACAATCGTGACCGTACAGTGAGCCTGCTGTCTCTCTGCCAAAACTTCTCATTCAACATCTGTTCGCTAAAGGCAGATTATTCTTTGCGTCTGAGGGAGAGCGCGGGAGTGATATAAAAACTGCAAACACTGGGAACGAGTAACTAAACAGCTTTAATACCAGACTTCATAGGCAAGTATGGGTAGCGGGCTACCTGATGAAAGGATGGTGGTCAAGTGGAGTTGCACCCAGTTGGTGGTAACAGCAGCAAAGGGCTGGCAGGAAGGTTGCACAGAAACTCCACTGGCTTTTCTGGAGTGGCTCTTCTCTTGTGCACTACGAGTTGATGATGAAAAAGTTTATTTTTAACCCTGTAGCTGAGGGATAATGTTTCCAGCAGCCTGAATAGAGGCATCCAACTAAATTAAGAGGTGAGGGTGTTGAGTGACTTTACCCAGCTTGCCCTGGATGTGTTCCCAGCACGATACAAGAGCGTCTGGCACAGCTCTGTGCTGGGGACAGGACCAATTGGTAGCTGTTTGTACCATGGCTGCTACCGTCAAATTTGGGTATCTAGTTTTGCTGTTCATGGTGTTTTACAGGTGAGTTGTGTCGCTTCACCTGGGGAAATGAAGCGATTACAGTGGACTGTGTCTTCACTTTGCAGAGAAGTGGAGAGACTTATGTGAAAGAGTGATGAGCTCCTTTTTCAAGCTCACTTCTTAAGCTCCTTCATTCCAAATTATTTCACACTGCAGGCAACTACCTTAATCCTCAATTTCTCTCAGGTTTATGGTTTAAATTTAAAGCAGCCTGATGCTAAGGAACTGTCACAGTAGCTTTACAAACCAGAGTTTGGGAACCACTGGTGTGGATGATTGCGTCCTTCTGGGGCAAAAGCTGCTATGAACAAAGCATTTCAGTCTGAAGACGAGGAATGTCTGTGCAGCCTGGGAACAGCAAATGGTGCAGTCCGCAGCATTAGAGCAAAATGGGAACAAGGTGACGACAGCAGAGAACTGGAAGAGAATTGGGAACTGGCAGAGACCTGTGCTTGTACCCTGAGTGGCAAGACTGAAAAGACAGTTCCTTGCTGTTAACAGAGACAGCTTGAACTTGGAGTTAATCAAAATCACTGTTGGTGGGTGGATGTAATAAAATGCTGTAAGCACCGACTTTGGCCTTGCAAAGGTGATACAGAAGGCTGTATCTGAAAACACTAGAAGCAGAACTGCTGTGGCTTCATGTTCCATCTTCCTGCATATGGAGAATACTTTTAAAGTTAAATAGCACCAGATTTTAATAATGTGGCTTTGAAAACCAAGGAGAGGGATTAGATGTTTTTTTCCCTGCAATTCTTCAGGGTGCAGTCTTTGGATTGCAGCCTTATAAAATTCATCCTCTAAAAATCAAAGCTTGGATTATGATGTGTTCCTGTGACTTCCAAAGGAAGGACATAAGAACTACCAGACTCCCAGTAAAGCAGAAGAAAATGAATGTTAGAGTCATACTTGTTATCACTAAACGAGGCACGCAGTGTAGCTCACATCTAACCTTATATAAGTTTGGGTCTTTCATTTATGAAACAGACTGGCTGTTGTAGTTTTATTATAGTTTATTACATCATAGAAATTAATATTCTTGCAAGTGCCCTTTCTTTTATTCAGAGCACAACTGTCCCATGCAACCATAGCTATGTAAGGGTATTGTGAATGTCCAGGCTTCCAGCAGCATCTGAGTTAACAATATTCTGCAATTGCTGCTACAATTTCCCAAGGATCGGTAACAAAACACCACTGACGTGAGATGCCTGCTGGAGAGAGATGAATTAAACCATGGGCTCTGTGTAAACTTCAGCAATCCATTTTGTATGTCTGGCTTTCTAGGGATTTAGACATTAGAGAGAATGTGTGAATGAGACAAAGATAAACTTCTTAGAGCTTAGGCTGTTTCTATTAATTTTAATTTTGAGCATTTCCCAAGTTGTTTTTCAAAGGGCCTGAGTAATTGCTCCTCAAAGATTTA